CCCCCCCGCCCTTTCTGTGATTGCTCTCCCAGTCTTCTATCTATTTTCCTAGTAGTTAGTGACTCTAGGAATCCATCCTCAATTCTCCCCTCCTTCCCAATCACCCACCCCCAAATTCTCTGGATGAACCATCCAATTTCATCACTTCAACTGCCACATAGATGTTTTCACCCAGGTATTAATTTCTAAGATTTCGTACATACACGCATACATACATACATATACCAATATATACGCGTGCAACACACACATCATATATATACTTATGGNAAAAAAGACTATAAAGTCATATGAGAAAATAAAAACAGCCTTATTAGAAAGATGAGATTAAAGGCAATGTTTATATTTAAAAGTCTTTATTGTTACATTGTTTCACTAAAAGTTGTTTTAAATTAATGTATATAAAAATAGGTTTTACTGAAATTAATTTGACCCAATCAGTGATTTAATGAAGTACTTTTCTAGGGTCATTTCCTAAATAAAGTTCTGTTACAATGTAACAAAGCTTTTCCATTAGATGGAGTCTAGAGAAAAAGAAGAAAGAATTTAAAAAACTATTGTTATGTACAATGCAGAGGCAGAATAAATGATAGAGGAAAGACAGAAAAGTCATACGTAAATATCTTGTAAAATACATCTTGCATTAAACCCTTCATTTTATTTTCAATAAGAAATTAACAGCATACATGGTTAACAGCATCCTTGACTATAACACTTCCAAAAGTAATGTAAAGGATAGCACTAATAAATCTAATGGAAACTAAGTATATAACACACTAACAATTACTATAAATTTCTTTTGAGGTAGATAGAAATAGCTATTGATATTTGCAAAATTTCTATTCTAAGCCATTATGTACACTGTTCCTATCAATTTTGTTTACAGATTATTAGAGATTTTTAAAAAATTAAGTATACAATTAGAAAGCAAGCATATATTATGTTCTATGGTAATGTGTTACCTAAAGCAGAGATCCAGTAGGGATAGAGCTCTTTAGTAAGAAGCGCATCGTCAATGTCAGAGAGAAAACTCTTCAGCACCCCCGTTACATCTTCAAGCTGATGTTTTCCAGCCCTCAATTTAAAGCTTCTTGCATCCTTTTTGAAACTCTCCAGGAGTTCACTTACGTGCAAAGGATCACCATTCTTTTGATAGATATATTTGCATCCTAAACCTTTGTATAAAAAAAAAAA